TGCCATAACCGACCAACGTTGGTCGGTATTTTTGGTCGGTTTTTAGCGAATTTCTAGTAGTGTCCCATATGGGTGGAGATACATCTCCTACAGAACTATTTTTATGAATGTGGTTGCTGACTTCAAGCTTACTTTTTTCTTTTTCTTTTTTGTTTCTTGACTTTGTCTCCTTGGAGGGATGGGAGATTTTGAATGAAAATTATTTGATTTGGTTTATAAATTATCGTCGAAACAAAATCTTGATGTTTCTCATGATCTTTTTTAGGCTAAAACTGTTCAACCTCAAGGACACAAAAGATCAAAAGAGAAATTTTCTTGAGTAAATCAACGATCCGTGTAAATGGACAACACAGTAATCTCTTTACAACTATTGTTCAGTTGAATCTTCTTCATTCCCCTATTGAATAGATTAAAAATATGTTTTGCTAATTAATCTATCAATCATCACCAAAATTAGTTGTATAAGCTGAATAAATCCTCTATATCAATCCATGTTCAAATCAAAGAGTTCATTATTATTTGACGATTTCTTAAATCTTACACTAACCGCGCCAGCCTAATGCAACTTTGTTTTATTCACGGAAGATAGAACTTTGCAAAACTCGATCACATAGATAAAACTATATAACTGAGGCCAAAAAGGGAAAAAGAGGGAAGCAAATACAGGTCAATGATCATTTTCAAATGATGGTAAGAGTTCAAATGATGCTGTAACCAATTCTCAATGAGAAATTAAGAAGGCGTTTGGACATAAAAATTATAATTTAAAAAAAAAAATATTTGGAGTTAAGTTAAAAATGATATTTGGAATTTGAAATTATGTTTGGACATGCATTTCACTTTAAAAAAATGTTATAGTTTTGTGAGGGGTCAAAAAGTTTGAAAAACTCATTTTCGAAAAATTTCCAAAAACTTGCAAAATATCATGGAAAAACGTACGGGTCCTTCAACTCAAAGATTACAATCAACGCAATGGTTGTATACAATAGTTTCATTAAACTCCCAGAACTCGCCTTAAATTCATCCTGGATACACCTTCAAACACTTGTAAAAGGGATTTATGACCTAAAACTTGGAGAAGACATAACTAATCAGATCCACTAAAAGGGAACCACTTGGACTGAAATGAGGACTGATAAGAAACCAGTACTATAAGCACCACCACCAAGATTGCGACACCCCATGGAAATTCTGCTCTGCTTCTTTTATAAACGGAGTTGTTATGCCGAGGCTGCGACGGACCCCAGAAGTTGAATCCCCCATTTAGCAAGCTTGAACGCATGAGGAAGATCAAGAAGACTGGTACTAGATAGAAAAATAGCTGCAAATTGATCCTAGATTGCTCCAACTGTTCTTTATAGTTATTGTATTGAGACAATGACAGCAACAAAATAACAATGGCAAATATGGCCAGCAATGGAAGCGGTAGAACTAAAACTGAGGCTAGTGTCTCGTTTGTCCAACCTTGTTTCCATTCTGGACCCCTTCTTTTGGGATACAACCAATCCATCTCTATCTTTTTCTTGCTTTGGTACTTAACTCTCAAGTATTTCTTTTGTCTCTTGAGTGGTGCTGCATGTATTTATTTATGTTATAAGTGCTTGCAAGGATTGTGTCGCTTTACGATTTACTAGTACAAGGGTGGCTTTGGAATATATGCTTTGGGTATGATTTCCACCTATCAGCCTACTTTTCCTTTTGAACTGAGACACTCAAGCAGCCGATACCAAATTGTTGTTGAGAAAGAAAGAAGTTTTAATATGGGAGGTGGATATTATACTTTTTAGGTTTAAAGTAGCATGGCATGTAGCACAGATGCACATGTGAGCTGTAAATATACAATACAGTTCATTACTCACGTGATCATTCAACTATCCGATATTATCTATCAAAGTCATTTTTCTTGCGTTTGTAACAGCAAAGTTACTTAACTATATCTGTAGTACCCAGAAGGTCACTCAACTAAATTTCTCAAAAATTTTATCTCCAAATACCTATTTTACCCTCTGAATTATCAACTTTGATCTTCTTTTTATTTTTTTAGCTTTTTAATATTATAATTTTTCTCTTTTTAATTTATATTATGGACTTGCCTTAGAATAAATAAAATTATTTATAAATTAAAAAAATAAAAATAGTATTTAAGCATATATAATGTTGGAATAATAAAATATTGAGCATAGTAGAACTTTAATTAGAACAACTTGGTCGTAATAAAAATTTTGATATTAAAAACAAAATCTCAAAAATTTATTTACACAATTGAGAACGAAAGAAAATAAAAATTTTAAAATATATATTCCATACACGTACTATAGAAAATAATTATTTAAATAAATATATTTTTATAATATACATTATATATTCTTGAAAATTATGCTCAATTATATTATTATTCCGATATTATATATGCTAGAAAATAATTTTTTATCTTTAAATAAAATTTATTTATTCTATAGGTAAATTCATAATGTTGATTAAAAAGTATTAAAAAAAAAAAGAAAAAGATAAAAGTTGAAAATTTAGAGGGTAAAATAGGTATTTGACAATTAAAAGTTTGAGAAATTAGGTTAAGTGACCTTCTGAGCGCTATAGACATAATTAAGTGACTTGTCTGTTACAAACAAAAGTGTTTACCCGAAAAATGGATAGAGTTGAATTTATACGTAGTTCCAAGAATATGTGGCGTAACTTAATACAAATTGTAAGGATAAATAGAAATATAAATATGGACTGCAAAGAATGAGAAATAGATAAGGTTGTAAAGAAAATGAATCTTAGGACTCAACAAGGAGAATTAATTTAAGAAGCCTGAAAGAACGATTCTTTACTATGGGAGAATATAATATTTTTATTACAATGTAAGCCTGGAAAAACTTGCCTTTTCATAAATGATAACCATGCCTTTTATAGTAGAGGGACCTTGCTCTAAGTATAATAAAAAAAATACTCAGTGGGAGACCCATGATAAATCAGCCTTTCCACAATTTCTGCCAAGATTCTCGCTAGTGGGATTGCAATGGCTTTTATCTGTGAGCTCGATCTTGCCTCGAGCCCTCGATCTTGGTTTGAGCTCGATTATGACTCGAGTTCTCGATCTTGGCTCGAGCTCGATTCTGACTCGAGCTCTCGAATTGATTCGGGGTCAATGTTGGTTGGTTTCTGGATCATAAGCATGATAGCTTTACTCTGCATCATAGTTCGATTTGGATTCGAGCTCGATAACGATGTCGAACTCGACATGGATCGGCCCCTTGGGTTCGAGGCTTGTTTGTTCCATCTTCGGAGTCTCACTTCGATCGATCATCGTTCGAACTCGATCGGACGTGCGAAGGCCAAAATTTATTTCGACCGTATACATATAGTCCCCTCATTTTTCAGGAAGAATATGGTGATAAACGATATGACTTTTTAACGGCTCGATCGGATTATAACCCGACATCCCCATCAGGCTCGATCATGACTCATGTGATAGATGTCCCGTCGGTTTAGTCTTTCAAGGCATTTAATACATGTCAGATGGTGGTCGGCCACCGCTGATACTGAACCGCCATCGCTTAAGCCTATAAATAACCCTTCTTCTTACCATTTACCACTTTTACATCTTCAATCTTCCAAATTTCCCAAGTCTCTTTTCGTATTTTCTGATTTACCCTCAAATCTGTGATTTCCCAAAAGCCCCTCTTCAATTCTACCAAATCTTTGTCACTTTCTTCTATTCCTCACCTTTGAAACCATTCCTCAGAAAGAGAAGGCTTCATCTTCACAGTGTGCTGCCAATGAGACACCGGCAGAACCACGGCCTGAGGAGTGCGTTCCCGGGACATGTGTTCTTACTTCTGATTTTAAGGTCGATAAAGGCTCATCGGTCCCTGGCCGGTGTAAGCCGGTAATGAGGTACATGTGTTCGATAACCGAGAAGCACCTCAAACAGCTAAAGAAGGATTGCAATTGGGGTGAAAAAATAATAATAATTCCTACTCCTGATGAAGATATCACTTCTTACGTCAAAGGATTTTTGAATGTGTATACTTACCCTTTCACTTTAGGTCCCCTCGATTCCATTATTATTGACTTCTGTCATCAATACCAGATAACCCTGGGCCAGGTCCATCCTTCTTTTTGGCGGATCGTTATCCTGATCCGATATTTTATGAGCAAAATCAAGGGGATGTCATTCACCCTCGACCATCTTATCCGATTGTACTGTCCTTGACTTTTTTGAGGATGGTTAATAAAACTTCAGCGTCGGGCCACCAAGGCTTTGTTCTCGAGCATTGACGAGGATAGGGATCGGGGTTGGATGGGCAGGTTCGTTCGATTGAGGACTTCGGACCTGATTCCGGCTGAAAAGATGCCCTTTTCCGAGGAGTGGAATATGAAACGTAAGTGTGATCCTGCTGTTACTTCTACTTTGTTATTTCATTTCTTCTCTCATCGAAACTCCTCCTTTTGTGATGTAGCGATTCCCTAGATGCCCGGAGCAGTTCCCGATCTTAAGAACTAGGTACGAGCTCTTGTTTCGATCTCCACATACGCCGAGCGCTCATGGCGTGATTTGTCAAAGGGTCGGTGGGAGGCCAAAAATCATGGTAAGCCCCTTTCTCGTACTCTTTGATAATTCGAACGAGGTAGTTTCCAAATATTAAGATTTTCCATATGCAGGTTTGGGTAAAGATGCAGTTTTGAGGCCCTTGTCCAACGAGAAAGAAATCTTGGCCTCTGTGCCAAAGACGGTGAAGGGAAACCCGAAGATCCAAAATCGAAGAAGAGGACGGCTCATAAGCCGAACAAGAATGTCATTCCTTTGACCGTGGAATCAGTTCTGCGTCTAAGGGATGAAGATGAAGAAGAAGAAGAAGAAGAAGAAGAAGAAGAAGAAGAAGAAGAAGAAGAAGAAGAAAATGATGGGTCCACGTTGGTGGCCCGAATGAAGAGAACCATTGATGCCCCATTGGCAGCTGGATCGATGATGATTCATGAGGCTCCGCCTCGAACTGAGGATATACCGGAGAAAGATTCGGGTAGAGTCCCCTAATTATCGGAGATCGAAGACACATCTCATCAGAGCCAACGGATGGGGGATATGACTAAAGGGGCCATTGAATCCCTTCGAACTAAAGAGAATGCTCCAAGTGATTCATTTAGGGCAGCAGCAATCGAAGATTCGCCTACCTTTCCCGCTTTTTCTGCAGGGGTAATTCGGGAAGCCCAAGCTCTGGGGGCCCTCGATCTAGACAGGCCTCACGATGGAGAGGATCTCTTTCATGACCTGTTTACCGGTATCGAGGATGTTGCCGGTACTGGTGATGAATCGGATCTTTTTCACGGGGTGCGGCAGGCTTTGAATCAGGTAAGCTTTAAAATTATTTTGTCGGTACTGCCTTTATGTTTACTTTTCGTTAACTTTGTTTCTTGTTTCTTTGTAGGCAGCGGCAGTTCATCGAGAAGCATGTTCTCGGTCCCAAAACGAGCTGTGTTGATATGAGGCTGACTTTCAACGGGTTACTGATGAGAGGAACTCCCTAAGACTTATCTTAGGGCAGAGAGAAGAGGAAATAAAAGACCTCCGAGCTGAGCTGGCCAAGGCTTATCGAGATCAGACCGATTTTTCTGAGCAGGTAATGATACTTTTGAAAGCCTATGGGCTTGATACTGTAATGATGGCTAACTTTTCGGTCTCATAGCTGCAGTAAAAAATCGAGATGATCGGGAAGCTTCGTGAGGAGGTCGGCGTAATAAAAGCGGAGTCTTACAGTGGAAAGAAGGTATAGACCGCTTTGCTACAGAGAAAGAAACTGCTCGAGCCCAGTTATCATCGACCGAAACCCGACTTCAAAGAATGAAGGAACAAGGCCTGGTTCAAGTAAGAAAAATAAAGGATCTTGAGGCTCGGTTGGCCTCTGTGCTTGTCAAGGCCGAAACTGATACCGAAAAGGCAAAGGCCGATGTGGATGCCCTCGTGGCTATCTATCGGGCCGATGCTGAAGCTGCCCAGGTCCAAGCAAGAGAGGAATCCGAGACCGCCAATACTCGAGCACATTGGGTCGCCAAACTAGCTAAGTGTCGATCCCGAAGGGAAACCCTCGAGGAGATCCATGTTGGTGGTTTCGATCTCGCTGAAGAGATAAAAAGGGCCAAAGAGCTCGAAGCCGATGCTGAAGCTCTGGTTTCCAATGACGATGATGATGATGATGGGAGTAAGAGCGGATTCGAGAATGGGGGAGCCCGATAAAGAAGAGACAACTCCTGAGGATGACCAAGAAGTTTAGTCCTTAGTTTTTATGTTGTAATCAACCATGTAGATAATTTTGTATATTGATAATTCTGCCGACTTGCTTCTATTTTTTGAATACTTTATTCACGCCTTTATGAATGTTTTCACAAGGATTTAAACAACTTAATCAAATTTGGACTTCATAGCCTCTATAATTGATCGAGTGTTTTTTCAGACTTGAAGTGATGTAGCCCTTAGGCTTATTAGTTGAGTCAATGATTCAAACTCGAAGAAATATAGCTCGTAGGCGTAATGGTCGAGTGAGTGCTTTCTCGAACTCGAAATGAAAGTAGCA